GGTTTCCCTGGGGGAGGTCTGGGTCCGGGCCCACGGAAGGGCCTTGGATCAGCCGTGGATGGCGTGGGGAGGCCAAAGCCTTCGTGGGGGGCGTGTCGGTTGGGGCGCCCGTACATGAAAGACTTCCACCACACCCTTCAGGTGAGCCCGTTCCCTGGCACAGACTTTTTCTAAGGGGGATATTGCTTCCCTTTCCATTTTTCTCCTACAAATGAAATTTAGGATATAAGTCAGGGGTCCTCAAACTTTTTAAACAGGGGGCCAGTTCACTGTCCCTCAGACCGTTGGAGGGCCGGACTATAGTTTAAAAAAACACTATGAACAAATTCCTATGCACACTGCACATATCTTATTTTGAAGTAAAAAAACAAAACGGGAACAAATACAATATTTGTATTTGCATGTGGCCCGCGGCCCGTAGTTTGAGGACCCCTGATCTAAGTGAAAAGTCTCCTGTGCTTGTCCCGGGACCAGCCTGGGGAGCAGAACCCTGCCGCCCGCCCGGGCTGACGCAGCCGCACCTTTAGTGCTGTCGTAGATGATGTTCTTGCAGAGCAGGTCGTTGTGACAAAACACCACAGGGGAGCCCAGCTGGGACAGGTGCTCCTTCAGCCAGGCCAGCTCCCGCTCCAGCACCTCCAGCGTGGGGACGTCTGCGGAAAGGCTGGGGGGACAAGAGAGGGGACCGTGGAGGGGGGACTGAGAAGGGGGGGTGGCTGAAAGCGGACAGGCAGGGGCTTGGCCTCCAAAGCCCTGAGCTCTGGCCTCCTCATGACCTCGTACTGCAGAGGGAGCCTGGACATATGGCCAATCTTTTGTCATCTGCAAAATGGCACTAGGGCTTCCTGCCCTGATGACCCGTGGTTACTCTAAGAAGCTGATGGAAACATTGGCTTCAAAGCATTTTGCAAAGCACCATCATCCCTGACGGAAGGGCATCCCTGCTCCTTCGTGAAGGAGACAGGGAGCTACTGAAGGAGGCGCAGGGAGGATGGGGAGGTGAGGATGAGCGACCGAACGCACGCATCTCCGAGTAAGAACAGGGGCAGCTGGGCAGGGTGCACAGACCTGCTCTTAGGACGCAGGGAGAAGCAGGGAGGATTCCTGGGGCAGGGGCCGCCCTAAAACAAGGCTCCCTGCAAAGTTCCTCAGATGCAGGGCCCGGCAGGGCTGGAGCGCTGGCACGCTCCGGGGGAGGCAGAGATGTGCTGGTCCGTGTCCCTCACGCTCTGGCAGCCGGTGGCACCAGGATCGTATAGTTTCACTTCATATCCCACAGGCAGCCATGCAGCCACACAGCAAGCAAAGAGGGTGCTTCTTGAGCTCCCTCCTGCGAGGCCCAGGGCACATGGGGACCGTCCAGAGGGAAGCACCGACGGTGTAGCTCCCCGATAGTGCCTTCCACCCTGAACGAGGAGTGTGAGCTTCCTTGTCCCAGAGCCCTGAGGGGCCGGATGGTGTGGGCCACCTGAGGGCAGGAACAAAGCACCTGGAGCCCCTCTGCCCCACCCCCTCCCCCAGCACACACTGAGGAGTGAATGAATGGGCCCCTCAGAGGCCTGGGAAGCTGACAAGGAGACACTGTGCACAGAAGCTCTGAACTGCGGTCCCAGGAAGCACAGGTTCTGTGCACACTAAAGAGTCAAGGAGTCAGCATAGCCCTTAGAAAGAACCCAGAACCACCCGTGGGAGGAGGGGAGGGGCTGGCGGCGTGTTTCCACGCATGCATCTCCTGTGCGCTCTCTCGTCCGGGGCAGCGAGAGGATGTGCAGGGGGGTGAGAAGGTGAGAGGTCCTCCCGATGCTCCCACGGGTGCCCACACCCCCAGCCCAGACACCGGAATGTGTGGAAGAGTCCTCAGCGTCTAACGTGTCCCCACGTCCCCCCGGAGATGGGTGAGTGGCAGACTGCCTCACACTTTGAGAAGGTCAAAGCTAAAGAGGATCCGAGGTCTCCAGACCAGCCGCATGGGGACACTGAGGCTCAAGGAAGGGCAGTCTTCCTTCCAGCCTCAGGTGTCTCCTGTACAGCTAGACCCTCAGCCCGTCCAAGGATGGGCATCAAGCCAGGCCTCTAACCACAAGGGCCCGGTGCCCCCTGGAGCGCAGGCCCCTGGGAGTGCAGGGATCTATCTGTTAGGGGCTGTCAGGGAGGCCTCCCGCCCCCCCCCCCACTCCCCCTTCACTGGAGTTTATCTGTAGCCACAGGCTGCATAGCATGCATTTCCCTCTTGGCTCTCCCTAAGAAGCTACCTTTTTTTTTTTTTTTTTAAGATTCTCCTTTTTCTTGGACGGAGACCATCCAAAGATAAAACCGAGGAGGCCTCCTTCGCTTTGCCCAGGTCTCAGCTTGAAAAACATGGCTTTGCCATCCAAGATGCCTGCTGCCCAGGCCCTGACCTCTGTCTGACCCCCACGCTACCCACCCCAAGGCCACACAGATGGTTACCGTGGGAACAATCCTGACCTCCCTCCCTCCCCCGAGCACCTGGACCCTCGCCAGCGCAGCGTCCCTCAGCCCCGACACCACCATCCTCTCCAGGGCTGAGGGCCTGGCAGGGGGTGCATCTCGGAGACTTTCACACGCCAGGCGGCGGCTCCTGTCCCTCCGAGGCCGAAGGGGCGGGTGACGGGGCCTGGGGTTCTTCCTGATGAAGGGACTGACGCCTGGCCAGTGCCCACTCAGTTCTCGGGATCGGAGTGGGGAAGGGTGGACTTTCTAAGTGTTCACTTACATGACCTTTGCCCTCACACCACTCAGCCTATCTGAGTCTCCTCTTGTTGCCATGCCTACCCGGACGCCTAGGCTACCACTATTTCCACAGGGTCTCTGACTCAGCCCACTCCACCCCGAGGCTGCAGGGGGCAGTGCCCCTCCAAGGGGCCCCTGGCTCCCTGACCTCAGAATGCGGGTGCCGAGGGGCCCATGTGAGACCTCCCATTACTCTCCAGGGTCAGAACCTGCACTGAGCAAGCACCCAAGGGAACCTCATGCTCAAGCTGGGGGAACCCTAGTGTTAGACATGAGCAGAGCAAGGGCGATGGGCCAGGCACAGAAACGCACCAGGGCAGAAAGCCCCGGAGGCCTAGCAAGGGGTAAAACTGGGAAAACAAGAACCTTGTACCCAGGGCAATCTATCTTCCCCTAGCTATCGCTGACCATGACCTTTTCCTCCCTGAAGATAACATCTAGGCCTCAGTTGTATTTCAGCTCCAGGCCCAGAAAAGCAGCAAAACCAGACAAGTGCCACCCTGGCTGCCTCAGGACCGACCCTGCCCTGACGACAACCAATCAGTGGAGACCACGACCTAAAAAAGCACACCTGGAAGGCTGATGCATATTCTATTGAGACCCCCCCCCCGCCCCTCCCCAGAGACCTCCCCTAGGATTTCCACCTGCAAGAGAGAGACATACTCTCAGGACGAGGGACACAGCGCGCGCAGTGCTCTCCCTTCAAGGAGCCATTCCCTTCCCCCTCTTCCCTATAAGAGACCCCAACCAGGGGCGCAACAGGCAGCGGCAGCTCGTCCCGGGCCACTCCCTGAACCTGTCTCCAAGGCAGGTTCCCTGAGCCAGAGCAGCCCAGCCGAGGCTCTCGGGTGGCTTCCTCTATGCCCTTCCTTGTGTCACTGTCCTAAGTGTATTTTTGCCGTCATCATGGACCCAATACCCTTTGGCTCAGTGCTGGGTAGCCCTTCCCTTTGGATATCCTCATCCTCTGCCTCCGTTTCCTTAAATAAATTCAATTTTTCTTTATTCAGCGTCTGAGATGGCTGTTTAGCCTTCCCGCACATCAGCGACTTTCACCTTTCACCTAGTTCTAACTGTTTGTTGCCCATTCCATTTTAACACTCCTCCAGCTGGTCTCCCTACCCCAATCCCTGCTTCCCTAACTCCCACCTCCACCACGTCCTGGGCAGGTTACTGACCTGAGTCCCCAGCTCAAACACCTTCACAATTACTTTCCACCGAGGCCAAACTGAATCTTTGTTCCTTAACCTGACCTTCAAGGCCCCCTCACACTCTAGCTCCAGCTCACACGACCCCTGCAGCTCTCTCTCTCCAGACCCCTCCCAACCCTTTTCCTGAAGTCTGCTCCGGCCAACTCGTCTACCCCTCATCCACGAGCAAGCTGTGCTCAGGCCACCTCCTCCAGCCAGAGCGCCTCCCTTCCCATCTCTGCCAGGAAGACCTTCCCTGGTTCTCCCACCCCTGGCGCGCACTACACACCCTGCCTCCTTCTATGGCTCTGCACGGGCGGGTCCCTAAGCTTCGGTGGGCAGAGCCAATGCCACCTTGGTATTTTTATTGTTTTAAATCCCCATCAATCCATGCTGGTGAAATGAAGGATGGACTACATCAGGGTTATTAGGAAAATTACGAGACAGGGTTATTACAGGACTCAGGTGCTGCGTCTTGTCCGAGTGGTTGCTCATCACAGCCTGCTCTGGGGTATCGTGGGCAAGGGCAGGGCGGGCATCACCCCCTAAAGAGGCTTAAGAAAGTTAAGCAAGTTGATTTGCTCAAGGTCAAAAGTGTGACAAGAACAAAGGGAGTTGGTCAGCTCTTCTCCAGGGAAGACTCTCCTCCCAACAAGGTCACCGCCCCCCCACCCCACCCCCCTGTAAAGGATACACAGTGACCGCAGATTCAAGGGAAGCTGCAGTGGCAAGGGTTATGCCTGAGCATCAGGCCTGGACTCTAGTCCTCGAGTTGCCACTGATAGTAATGACCGTGGGCAAGTCCTATCCCCACCCAGGGTCTCAGTTTCTTAATCTGTCCAATGGAAGAGGTGGGCTGGGGGGTCTCAGGTCCTGTTGGCTGAGATGCCAGGGGGTCCTACCCTCTGTGTGCTGTTCTAGTCCTAAGAGGCAAGGCGGCTATTGTCCCAGAGATAACACTTGACATAGAAGGTCTGAACATGAGCCATGCTGGACACACAGTCCCAAAGCAGCGTCTGATAATCCTTAAGTGGGAGGACCCAGATAAGGCATCCTGTGTGCGAGAATGTGACAGGGGCACACGATCGGGAGAGATGCCATTAATGTCTTGTCATCTTCAAGGAGGCAAGGGGGTACCTGTCCTCAGACCTGTGCACCCCATCCCATGAACATCTGGAAAAAGGGTGTTCAAGCCTTTTTTGGGGGGGCGGGCAGGGTGACACCCCTCTTTCTTCCTTGCCCCCACTGTTGACTCAACACTCAAGGGTAAGCGGGTGAGTCAGGTATCTGGAGGCTAGAAGGGCTCTCAGATGGCTTATCTGGGAGTCCTGTCTTATCTGGGGAAAGGTGATGTCACGATGATGATGAAAAGAGCAGAGAGGAAACGGCAAGCTGTCAGTCGGAATAAGGTGGAAAGCAAGGTTGCCGGGCGGGGGTGGGGGTGAGGGTGGGGCACGAGAGGATGAGAGGCATCCAGACAAGCAGCAGGAGTCTTGGTGTCCCGAGGCCTTCTCAGCTGATGAGCTAGCTGACTTCTGACTGGTTTTAACAGCCTCACCACTTTCCCAGAGGGCGGGCTTCCCTCCTCAGGCTAGAAGGCAGCTCAAGTAGCCCTGACACTGGGCAAAGCTGAGCTCCGAGCCTCGGTGCCCTTTAAGTAAAATGGGAGACACTGTCCCTGACCCTAGGCCAGTGATGGCGAACCTATGACACGCGTGTCAGAGGTGACAAGAGAACTCATTTTTTGGTTGATTTTTCTTTGTTAAATGGCATTTAAATATATAAAATAAATATCAAAAATAGAAGTCTTTGCTTTACTATGGTTGCAAATATCAAAGAATTTCTATATGTGACACGGCACCAGAGTTAAGTTAGGGTTTTTCAAAATGCTGACACGCCGAGCTCAAAAGGTTCACCATCACTGCCCTAGGCCCTGCCACAACCAGCAGACTCACAAAGAAATAAGCAGCCCTAGCCGGTATTGCTCAGTGCTTACAGGGTCATCTCGTGCATTGAAGGGTCTCAGGTTCGATCCCTGGTCAGGCTGCGTGCAGGAGGCAGCCAATAGATGTTTCTCTCTCTTTCTCTCCCTCCCTCCCTTCTTCTTCTCTTTTTAGAACAGTGGTTCTCAACCTTCCTAATGCTGCAACCCTTTAATACAGTTCCTCATGTTGTGGTGACCCCCAACCATAAAATTATTTTCGTTGCTACTTCATAACTGTAATGTTGCTACTGTTTTGAATCGTAACGTAAATATCTGATATGCAGGATGTATTTAGGCGACCCCTGTGAAAGGGTCGTTCGACCCCCAAAGGGATCGCGACCCACAGGTTGAGAACCGCCGCTTTAGAATCAATGAAAACAACAACAACATATCCTCGGGTGAGGACTAAAAAAAGAAGAAGAAAGAAGCACATGCATGGGTCTAAAACTGTGGATCCAAGGTCCTCAGATTTCTCAATTGGCCCAACTCTCCTTGGCAATGGCTAACCCTCCTGCAGGGTGGGGTGGGGCAATGGAACGGGGAGCGGGATCACATTCAGGCGGAGGAGACCTGGCAGCCTGGAGCCCGCCCAGATCCCCGTACCTGGGGCTGATCTCGTTCTTCACGAGGGTGAAGTAAGTGTGCATCTTGTGCCACAGGGTGGGCTTGGGCAGGCTGCCGTTGGTGTGGATGGTGTGAATCTTGGCCATTTCCAAGGCGATCAGCCTACAGCAAAAAACAGGAAGGATAGGGTATCAGCCCCTCCTGACCGGAAAGGGGCCCTACGCTGTAGGAGGGGGCTGGCCAGAGGGCAGAGTCTGGGGCTATGACATATCTTTCCAGAGCTCTCTCTGCACCTCAGCGGAGGCATGAAAATGAGATTGGCCTTTGGCCTAGCAGGTCCTTTTCCAGAACGAGAGCTGGCCTAGCAGAAGGGCAAAGCAGTGGGCTGTTGGCCACTGGTCAGTGACCCCGCCCCACCCCAAGGTCATGTACCCACTGAGGACAGAGGGATCACTGGGGATGGGGGTGGTGCCTCTCCTCCTCCCCTGGACTCTGACCCTCAGGGGCAAGTGAACGCAGGGCACCAAGGGATCAGGGGTGGTAATGCCAGGCAGGGAGAAATGCCCGCCTCTTATCAGCCTGGCCAAGGTGGGGAGGGACGCAGGCGGGCCCAGGGCAGCCCCTTCCTCTGTGGCAGGGAGTTGATGCTGGCGGCTGGGTGCCAAGGACGCAAAACAAACCAGCGTTCTATTTTCAAGTTCTCCTGTGGACATTATCCAAGGTCCCAGGAGAGAAGGAGGGGCGGTGGGGAGAGGAGAAAGCAGCTCCGGGGAAGGCTGCTGGCAGAGGGGGGAGGTGGGTGGAGGGCTGACCCTCAGAGAGGGAGGGCCTTGATAAGGACCCAGCATCTGAGGCCTGGGTCCCAGCTGGGCTCCCCCAGGCCTGGGCCGGCTCCCCCTCTGGAGCCCCACCCCCACCGGCTGCCAAGCCTCCAACATTCAAGCTTCCTTTACCTCTGCCTGTTGCTCCAATAATAATCGAGGAAAGACAACAAAGGCCGTGGCTGTTGGAAACCTTGTTGCCGAGCTGTCCAGGGACACCCCCGCCCCTTGCCAGGTCCTGGGAAGGGGCAGGCCATCTCCCACCAGCGTAACAGGCCACTCTGGGGGGCTCCTCTGGAGGCCCCCCGAGGCTCCCACCTCCGAAAGGGTGGAGGGGGCAGGGGGTGTGGCAGCAGCTGAGTGGGTGAGAGATGAAGGCTGTGCTTTCAGAGGCCGGAGGCCCTGGAAGAGGAGGGAGCCCAGGGCGTGGGCGAGGCGAGAAACAGACCTGAGACCCAGGCCTTCCCTCCCCAGAGGAAGATTCCGAACAGAACGCGAACAGAGTGTTTCCTTGAATACCAATAGGGATGCCGTCTGGAATAGCAATGAAAGCTAACCTCAACACGCGGCATCTATGCTGCAGAACCTCGACAGGCCCAGGGTGGGGGGTGGGATTCAGGGCCACGCAGGGAAGTGGCTCCCAAAGGTCTCCCCCTCCCCACCCCCCGCCTTTCCTCAAAGACCCACCTTTATCCCAGGAAGATAATGGTCTATCCTGGGAAGAGTATCAAGGAAGGGGCCACCTCCTACACTTGGCCCAATTTCTGGCTTTCCCCCAAATTTTGTCAAGTTCTTCTTATTGAACCTAAATCCCATCTGCATCTTCCTGACAATGGTAATTATGTTCCATGA